GCGCCGGAGGCCTGTTGTGCCGCCTCCATCCAGGATGGAGCACAGAGCACCGGGGGCCTGTTGTGCTGCCTCCATCCAGGATGGAGCACAGAGCACCGGGGGCCTGTTGTGCCGCCTCCATCCAGGATGGAGCACAGAGCGCCGGAGGCCTGTTGTGCCGCCTCCATCCAGGATGGAGCACAGAGCGCGATGCGGAGGTGGGCGCTAACAAGAGAGAGCATACCTGTGTATAGGCGCCCATCTCTGTGTATATAAGCGCCCATCCCTGGCCATTTCCTAACTTGCAATGCAGCCTATAACCCTAAAGCCTATAACAGAGCGACTAGTCATAATGCCCATTACGCACCCGTCCGACGGCCTCGGCTTCGGCACGTGGTGTCCATGGTACTGCCCCTCCCCGGGGTCCCATGGCGCAAGGTATAAGTACTTCCTGGAATGCGCTGATGAGTGTCACCACGAAAGCCTCCGGAGAGTTCTTCAGCTCTCAGACCTTCGCCTTCCAGTCTCACCTCAGCAACGTCACCTCGCCTCGCTTCGCTCGGCTCGGCTCCCCCCAACCCCTCCAACAGCATTCCCATTGATCCTGCACTCCTGACACCCCTGCCTGCATGCTCTCCGGCTGGTGCTCAGAGCTCATTGTTTCAAGAAGACCCTTTTCTTGCGTCTGTTGCGGACAAGGCTGTACAAGCGACAGTACCAGGTCAATGAACGAAGGCAGCAAAGAAGGGGACAAAGGTTCTTTCGGGGGAGCTAGAGAAGCCTGTGGGGCTTCTTCGCTTCTTTCCTGTGAATGGCCCTGGTGACTGTGAGCGTCAGCTTGCTGAGATGGCGGACAAGGATCAGGAGAGAGGGGAGGAGCTTCAGCAGCTAAATGAGAAGTTGGGTAAGGTACGGCGAGAGAAGGAGAAAGCGCAGGCTCGGCAGCGGCAGCAAAAGAGGCGTGGCCGCATTCGTGAAGAGCAGATTGCAGATGGTGCTCGAGATCCTGTTACTGGCAAGGTGTGTACAATGCATACTGGCAAATTCTTTCTGGACATATCAGCTCAACTGACTATTACAAATTTTGGCAGAAACGGAAAGCTGCAGAGCTTGTTCCAGACGAGCAGAAGCCTGTTTTCCCTCTCCCCTCTGGCCAGACAGTTGCTGAGGCATCTCGCCCACGCAGAGCTTTCATTGAACAGGCAAAGGCGGCTGCAAAGCCGAAAGCTCGCCAAGATAAGAACAACAAGGCTGATACTCCCACTACGCATAACTCTAATGCTCCGAAGATGGCAAAGTCTACAAACTGGTACGCACCACTTCTTTGGGTCCATATCGACGCTGCAGCAAGGGCTTGTACACCCAACATGCGGCAATGCGATATTGTCAAGCATCTCCGGCATCAGCACAGCGCAACAAGGATATTCGACAGCCTAACTGAGCAGGTGGTTGGGCGTATGATTGAACGTGAGGAGGGGAAGTCTCCACGGTGGTCTGACGCAACGATGGATGCTGTTCGGAATGCTCGTGGCTCTTGTGGAAACGTGACGCGTGCTGGGATCTTGGTAAGATCATATTCATTGCTTGGATGAGCTCACTGCTCATGGCATCTGGTCTAGACAAATCATCCTGCGGCATACGATGCCATCATCCATCAGCTAAAGCAGCTGCGAGCAGCGAAGCTACGCATCTCTGCCGGAATGGCTCAGGCAGTTATGATCGCTCTTCTCAAGGAACTTGCACCGGAGGTCTTCAACATTGATACGAGACATGGAAAGTTTAAGTGCAGCATCTCTTATGTTCGCCGTTTTGTACAAGTCCAGCTTCAAAGGTCAATTTGGAAGGCGACCCGTGCGGCACAGAAGATTCCCAAGGACGCACCTGACCTCTGCCGAGCTTCCTTCTGCCGCCAAGCTCTTGCTATTTGCGACCATCAAATTCCTGCAGCGTTACGAGTCAACATTGACCAAGCACAGTGCGTGCTAATGAACACTTGCGGTCGAACATACGAGGTCAAGAACAGCAAGCAGGTAATTTGCATCGGGAAGGAGGAGAAGCGGGCGTTCACAATATTGGTTGGTGTCTCAGCGTCTGGAGTTGCTTTACCATTCCAAGCGATCTGGAAAGGAAAGAGCACTGGATCTCTTCCTTCTCGCTCAGCGCCTCGCTATGCAGAAGCTGAAAAGCTTGGCTTCTGATTTGAATCCTCGATGAACGACACCTACTGGTCCACTTTCGCCACCATGTGCAGCTACGTCAATCACATTCTCGTTCCTTACCTCAATCGCATGAAGGAAGAGCTCGGACTTTCACCAGACCACGAGTGTATCCTGGAGCTTGACGTTTGGTCAGTGCACCGGAGCAAGCAGTTTCGTACATGGATGAAGACTACTCATCCTTGGATCATCCTCGACTTCGTTCCTGGTGGCTGTACTGAAATTTGGCAACCATGCGACGTTGGTATACAGCGCCTGATGAAGCTCTCGATCCGGCATGCGCAGCACGAAGACCTTGTTGCAGAAGTCCAGCACAAGCTGCGCACTGGCGTCTCCCCAGCAGATCTGCACATTGATGACACCCTCGGTACGCTGCGCAACCGCAGTGTTCAGTGGCTCGTCAATGCTTATCACACAATAAATGACAAAGTTATTGTAGAGAAGGTGCGCTCTTTCCCCTCCGCATTTAGGCTTGGCTCACAAGTTGTCCTGTAGGCTTTTTCAGGGTGCCAGCTCGAGGATAAGGATCTTAACCTGTCGCAAGCTTCTCCAACATGTTGAGCGGCACGAGACTGGGCTCTGGGCTGAGCTTAAGAAGGGTTCTTGTACCCCTCGCCTGCGCGAGGATGAAGCAGCATATCCGGATGACTGTGAGTGCCCGGACTACCCTGATGCAAGCATTCCTTTGCATATTGCCAAGGAGCACATCCTATCATCTGAAGGCAATGCATCTCCCTCTGGATATGCTCGCGCGGCAGACGGTACATTGGTTGTCCTTGCAGACGAGGCCGTCCTGGATGTTGACTGGCCCGATAACACTGATGTCGAGTACATGGACCGTGCACACGAACCTGACGAGGGGGAGGACATTTCTCACAGTATATGTAGCTCTAGTTGAGTAGTAAATAGGTAATTCCAGTATTGTGTGCTCCGAAGACAGCATTGAGCTTGTGTATTGATGAACAAAATTCGAGCAAAAAACGCTGAATATATTGAAAAAGCGCCCGTGTCACGCTAATTTGCAGCCAGTTCATCGACCTATCGTGACCGTGACCACCAGTTCAACCTCGGCCTGTTCAGAGGCCCCGTGACCGTGACCTGAACTTTTGGTCATATTGCTACAGTATTGTGGCTAAAAATTGTGATGCAATGGATTCACCACACTTCATACATAGCCCAGGGAGTTCTACACAAGATTCTCCAGGCTCAAAATATCCAACATGTCTGAGTGGGCTACAAAAGATTTGTTGTCAGATTCATCAGGCACACTATGAATTAAAGCAAATCCGGCCCCGGACAATTTTCCACAAAACACAGTGATTCTCTTTACAGTAGACATGCATTTAAAAGAAAATCTCATTCATTCACGCAGGCCTGCACACTCTCTATTAGTGTACAGCCCATACAGTATATGTTATTGACTTGGTTCACTAGGGAACCGCACTACCTTGTGAGGCACATGCATACCTGGCAGTGAGGTCAAGCTGTCATCGCCATCATCAGATGGTGTGAGCGGGCCAGAGGCAGCATGGCTGATCACTCGTGAATCTGATGCAGTTACCTGTGTAGATATATCAGGCAGCTGGCCAATGATCTTATTGCTGGTATGGATATGGGCAGGTGTGGCAGGTGGGGGTGCTTCAACTTCGACATTCGGGACAGAGCAGCGTAACTGGAGGGAGATAGTTAGCAACAGAATCAAGAGATCTAGGGCGACATACATTCTCGCTGCGCGCAGGGGAGGGTTGACGAGTAGCGTCTGGACTGGGAAACCGCCTACGTAAGCCACTCATCCTGTTCGCCCTTTCCGCAGGTGGCTCCGGCGTGCTCGCCTCGCGGGGTGCAGGTGAACGACGTCTCTCGGCCGTCATATCTTCCCGCCGCTCAATAAGGTCACCAGCGTCAGTTGCGGACCTGAGATGATGTACGTTGACATTGTTTTCTATTGTAGTCGCTTGCGGAAGGCCGGACTCGACATCAGGAAGAGTGGCGGAACTGTGGATGCTCGCAGTAGCCTCCGTCATAGCCTCAGGCACACGCCGGGTTCCAAGTAGCCAATCAGGCACGACGGTCGTGCGTGATGTCCAGGTACGGGACATGGAGACAGTACGCGAGTGGATGCGGCGGCCCACGGAGAAAAAAGGGATGGATAGACCATCTGCAATAAAACATTGAGTATGCGTACCAGTACAGGAGCAACGCGACGTACGGATAAGGATAGAACCGAGGACAACAAAGGCCACAATGGTTTGAAGTGTAGCTGCAAGGACCTCTTGTTGGTTTTGGGGAGGATCGTGCGGCTTGGGGAGTCGAGACACAGCTAAGGTCGACACGAAGATCGCACCAACACCCATGGGACCTGCAGTTCTGTGCTCAGTGACAGATCAGAGATAGACAGCGGTTACATACCGAAATGGCCTGAAAAAAATGCCTCGCGCCAGTCCGAGATCTCAGGTACCCATCGGTAGAGCAGCAGCAGCGCAGGGATACGGCGAAGTGCCAATATCGCGATAAACAAGATAATTAACCGCCATGGGGTAATACCAAGTTCAGGCGAGTTAAATGCGGTGAAGGGCAACCAAGCTCCGATGTAGACGAAGCACCCACAGTTGAGGACGAGATCGATGACGGACGAGAAGACCTCATTCTCAGTTTGGATGTTGAAATGGCCGTCCCAGGATATGGCGGAACCCGCAGCAAAGGCGGCAAGCAGGTCGTCGCTGCCGATCGTGCTAGCAACGCCGATGGTGAAGATTGCGAGGGCAAGGTATTGCGAGACATAGGACTCTCGGTCAATAAATCCTTTGCGGTGCGAGAACTTTATCAGCTGCGAAAAGCCAAGACCTGCCAATAAAGTTAGCTCAGGTTCACGTGCGAAATGATACGACGCACCCATCGCCGTGCCTATTAAGGTCCCAAGGACAACCTGATCTGACGTGTCATCGGAAGATTGCTCGCCGGTGCAATGTGCATAACACTTACAGAGCCATCCTATGACGAGCCACTTCTCTATAGCCGCGGCCCGAGACGACTCGAGCGTTAAGTAGAGTGAGATGCTGAGGAAAGGATATGCCAACCCGTCGTTCGCCGCAGACTCTGCAGAGAGAACAAGTCGCAGGTTCTTCGGGACATGCTTGATCGCAAATCTACCGCCTGAGGGATTGAGGGCGTTAGATCAATAGAAAAGATTGAGATACTAAGCCACTCCGAAAAAAAAACTCCGAAAAGCGTGCTTCGGCATTAGCGTGAACGAGACACTTGGCGGAGGAATGCTGCTTGACGAGAGATGGCCGTGCAGCAGCTTTTACGTATGTATGCGGCACACCGGCCCCATTGTTCGCTCAAGCATAGGGGAGCCAATTAGACTCACCGACGATAGCCGCACAGATAATCGGGTCGGTCGGTGTGAGACAGGCGGCAATGGCAAGGGAAGAGATGAAGTTGATAGGAATAAAGAGAACATATATGATGGCTGAAAGGCAGTTAGCTATTCAAGAACGAGCGAGGCTACTAATAACGGACGCACCAGCAACTATGAGCCAACCGAAAGCCATGGTCGGAACGACCATGATCAGCAACCCCTTAGCGTGATCTGCAAGATATGAATTCGGCAGCTCTACTCCAATTGCGAAAAGACCCGTGGCCAGGACGACGCGCATTACTTCTAGCGTTATACGTTGAGACATCTCCTCCGAGCCCCAGGACCGTGGATCGAAGATATTAGCGGCATGAGGCCCCATGAGGACGCCGAAACCGGTTCCAAGAACGACCTCGTTGATGTATAGCTGTTTACGGACTCGGACAATGCCCATAGAACACAGAATGGACAAAGCGTACCTTCTCCTTGACCAAGAGGGAGATCATACTGAACTGCAGAACCGAGAGGGTCAATCATGACTTTGCGTTACCTTACGAGTGGGACCGAATTGGACAGCGTGTCTGGGTCCACCGCATAAGAAGAATTGGCAGACTTACTGCGACGACGAATCCGCCTAACACGATGTACGCCAAGGAAGGTCCAGTCACCTGCGATTACATTCTCGGCCGTTTTGTGAGCCTACTTCGATACGAGATACTCCACGAACTTCAGTTAATGCAATGTTCCAGCCCATCTTGATAGATTACACTGTGCTGCGAGCGACTTGTGAAACGAGAGGCTTTCGCAGGTGGAGGTGAAGTTGAGGTAAAGACAAGGCTGCTAAAGTCCACACGGCGCTTCCGTTGCAGGGCGAGGTGCCAGAAGTACGCGACGGAGCCACGTGGCCTTGCCCTCCGGGTCCCCGACTCAATCTCAGAACAGGCCGTAGAGCACATCGACAACGAGCTCGTCGCCAGCAGACCTCAAGATGTGAGTATCGCTGTGCTACGTATATGCGTCTACAGGACTACTGCACATCGTTTGGAGGCATTTGCGATCAAGAGCGGTCGTTTCTGCGATGGATGCCTTAGGTGGCTTGTGGATGCCTCCCCGGCGATCTGCCTGCTTTCTCTGCGTCTCCGGCTTCTCGCTCTGAATTGTCCTCTAAACCAGCTTCTTCCAGTTATTACCAGCTCAACAACCATGGCCGACGCTGCTGCACGTGGACGTGGTGGATTTGGGCGTGGGCGCGGTGGTGATAGAGGCCGCGGTCGAAGGGGGCCCCGACGTGGCGGTCGTAAGGACGAGGAGAAGGAATGGTGCGTATCTTCGTTCTGTGTATGAGGATCTAGGTGTTAAACTAGCCTTCAAAGGATCCCTGTCACTAAGCTCGGCCGTCTTGTCAAGGACGGCAAGATCAAGTCCATGGAAGAGATCTACCTCTTCTCGCTCCCCGTCAAGGAGTTCCAGATCGTCGACTTTTTCCTTCCCAAGCTCAAGGATGAAGTCATGAAGATCATGCCCGTCCAGAAGCAGACCCGTGCCGGTCAGCGCACCCGCTTCAAGGCGTTTGTCGCCATCGGCGACTTTGAATGTCACGTCGGCCTTGGTGTCAAGTGCGCCAAGGAAGTCGCCACCGCCATTCGTGGTGCTATCGTCCTCGCTAAACTCTCAGTCGTCCCCGTCCGGAGAGGTTACTGGGGTGCTGCTCTCGGTGAGCCCCACACTGTCCCCTCCAAGGTCAGCGGCAAAGTCGGCTCCGTCATGTGCCGTCTCATTCCCGCGCCCCGTGGAACTGGTCTCGTCGCTGCGCCCGCATCAAAGCGTCTGCTTCAGCTTGCTGGTGTCGAGGACTGCTATACTCAGTCCAAGGGCTCGACAGCAACTATGGGCAACTTCTTGAAGGCTACCTTTACTGCCGTACGTTTTGTTCGCGACACTTTCCCTGCGGCGATCTGATACTTGCATTTAGATCACCAAAACGTACTCTTTCCTTACCCCCGACCTCTGGCGGGAGATTCCCCTCTCTAAGCTCCCGTACGACGAGCACTCTGCGCATCTTCAGCATGCAGCTGGCAAGAAGGACCATTGATTTCCCCGTCTCCCGCTCGTTCTTGGTGCTTTCTATCACCATGTATTTTCTCTAAAACTCTTTAGGGCTGTACGTCTGCATAGTTGACAACATGCTCGTTGGATCACAAGCCGCTGAGGCGGTACACGTCCGGTATCATTAAGTCCCCTCTGCTCCCTGCTCGATTCGCAGGCACAGCCGCATGAAGTGCAGGGTGGCAACTTTGTGTCACTTTTCTCTTTATCAATTTTCGTTGCAGGGCAGCTTCTCTGAATCAATACCGGAGATTGAAGAAAATTCCGTCCTAGGACGCGGAGGGGCTCTTCACACACCGTGCATCCGACTAGTTGAGGCTACGAAAGATGATACGCGATAGTGGCCGTTCCTTTTCTTACGTAGAGCAGGCTCAGCTTCCCTGACCAGGACGCCTGAGGCCGGGTAGGAAGTCTCACGTTGTGGTGTAACAGATTAGACAGGCTATGCGTGGCGGGCACCTGAGCAGGCCAGATGTCTGGGATCGCTCGAACCCTAACCATTCATAGTAGCGACCGCTTCACCGTTCAGACTAGTACAGCGCTCACGCACATTGAGTTTCGGTTACGTTATGCTTTAAAAACTACATATTGAATCAAATACACGTACGAGTTCGGCACTTAACCCAGAACGGCACATTATTACAATACAGTGCAGTAAGCAATGAGAAGAACCAGGCCTTAGGATGAGGGGGAAGAGGCAGCGCACGGAGTAGCAAAGGGAGAAGGGCATCACATGTAAGCCAGGACCAACGGCACGACGTCCCAGCCGACGTCATGCAGAATCTGTGTACCGCCTGGGCGCAAAGTCCGTCATAGGTGAGACCTGACCATCTGCGACTCCGCCGCGCCCTCACCTTGGAAGACGCTAACCTTGGCCTGGCCGTCGAAGACCTGGCAGGTCGCAATGAACGAGTTCCAGCGCTCGTCCGAGATGATCTTGGACGTGATCCATGGTTCGACATTCATTGCTTTGATGAGCTGCCCAACTTGAGGGAGCACCGCGTCGAGCGCCTTGGTCTCCATCTCGGCGAGGACTCTGCGGCTCACGCCTGCGTTCTCAATATACCATGCCGCGTCGAGCTTCATGCAGCTGGCGACATAGAGGTCGATGAGCGGCTGTTGCACGCCGGCCGCGACGGCGGCCTCGTACGCCATACGATGGCCCATTGCTTCGATGATCGCCTGGCACTGGGGCAGGATGAGCTTATTGACCTCGTTGCTTCGGTGGTGCGCACACGACGCGAGCACGGCACGGCACTCCTCGAAAATGCCTGCCTCATGACGCGCGAGCTGGCTCTTCGGGTCCCGCGCCGCGGGGACCTGATAACGGCCTTGAAGCATCTCGGTTGCAATCTCTGTGGGCCGAACTGGTCAATACAGTCGTTAAGTGTGGTACGTAAGACGTACTAATGGACAGGACGAGTACATCTCCCTCGGCAATGGCAATACCCCGAGTCACATTCTATACGTCTTTAGTGCATGGGACGACAGGTGACAGCACGGTCAACTTACATGCATTGCAATCATCTGATTGTGCTCGAATAAGCCTTGAGCGCCGCAACGGTCTGAGATAGCGATGCCGCCCGCGTTTGAGTGACCAATGATAGTTGTTTTGAGTATGCCTGCGATGGCGTGGCGGATGCGGTAGTCTATGGTAATGTCGCTGAAGACGCTCGTGCACCACTGAACAAAGGCCTCCATGACGTAGACCTGCGCAGTGAGCGTTAAAATCGGGATCTGCTGTGTGCGGAAGTGCATGATCGGTAGGCGGTCGTTAGGTTCACCGACGTAGCGGCGCAAAGAGTACATCGCGCCAATGGTGGCGTAGCACTTCATTATCGGCAGCGCGAGGCAACCGGTGGCGATCGTGCCACAGACGACACGCCACATTGAGTGCGTAAGCGCAAGCCGCGGCGAGGTAGCCTTCTCAGTCGAGCCGAGGATCGACTGAGGTGGCAGGAGGACGTTGCGGAACGATGTGATTGCGTGATTCACAGGGCTAGAGCCACCACGCTCAGGGAGGAGGCTATGCCAGAGTGGCTCAGGAACACTATGTTCAGGTACAGACAGATGAACGTACGTGGATTTGATGCCGGTGCACATCTGCTTGCCGTCGTTCAGAGGAACAAGGAACGGGCGGATGCCGTAATCTTCGCCGCGGGCAATAAGCTTCGCCCAGACGACAGCAATAGTTGGAAGGCCGGCAGGGACGGTAGGGGGCATGAATCTGACATAACAACGCGTTAGATATGAAAATGAGCAAACGAGACTTCGGGATCTTACTTGGCCGCGCCAGGCGTGGGGGTGTTAAGGATAAATTCACCGGAAGGAAGGAGAGTGGCGGTAGTCTCGAGGTTGGCAACGTCAAGACCATGTCCAACTTCAGTCATAAGGAATTGTCCGCTGTCAAACCATGCGTGTCAGGGTGAAGATACTACACACTAAGGCGGACGTACTGCTTGCGGTAGCTGAGGAGATCATCGACGAGAGAGACGAGCTCGGGGCGGTGCACCGAGTGTCGAGCAATCGTACCGGAGACTAGGTTAATTTGTATCGTTATAAGGGTCGTTGCGCCTCCGTCCATGGCGATGAGCGGGTCCTGGTGAAGTTGCCAGAATTTGGGAGAAAGAGTCAAAACATCATCAATGCTCAGGCCTGCAAGAGAAGTTAGCATTAAGAACTTCGATGATATGGGGGAATACGCACCGTAAGCCCGGACGGTCTCCTTCGCGCGTTCGTATGCGAGTTTAACTTTCTCTGTTCTCGTAAGGGCATGAGTAGAGGTCGTGAAGGCGGGGGTGCTCAAGAGGTGGAGAGCATGCTCGGGAGTATGAGACATGGTGTAGTAGACACACAAAAATGTTCCAAGAATGTACAAAGGGAAAGGGGAGGCCGTGGGCGGGGGACAGCCTGGCGAACCCGCACGATGTGCGAGCTATATTTCTACTCGTGCAGCACACAGACCTATCCCCCAGCAATTTGAGACCTAAGTGGATACCCTCTGCCATCAGAAAAGATAGCACGTTCGAAACAGGACTTCTGACGTGTATGGTAGCGGCCAGAATGACGATGCCTAAAACCGAGAACTTTGGCCGGGTCAATCTCATCAAAAACGGAATAGAAGGAATATCGCCCCCTTAAGCGAGCACGGCCGTGGGTCGGTCGACCCTGCATCTGAGTCGGCCGCCAGCTAGGCAGCCCCGATAGCACATTAAACTGCCTATCGCCATACTGCCATCATGTGCCTTTCTAATCCATCAGAACACCGTAGACGAGATCTGGATATGATCGCCCCGGGGAACGGAAGAAACATAGTACGCCACGAGACGGTGGATTGGCAGCTAACGCCATCGCGCCGGCTCAGGAAGCGTCGGCATTTAATCGCGCTGCTCATTGGGCCGATCACATAAAATGCCCACTCGTGCCAACAAGACGTGCCAGTCGAGAGGCGGGCACGTTGTTCGCGGGAGTGGGTAAAGCGCTCCCGGGGCCCCGGACTCGTTTGGTCACAGTCTGCAGCATGTTCAGATCGGTGAAAAATATACCTATTACATATGATTGCATCGCAGTACTGATAGCGCATCCTCTATAGCGGTTGATCCCTGGAATATTACAGCCCGGGCTAGGTTCAAGTGATCAGAGCTAGTGCGCATCATCACAGACACGATGCACTTTTGGTCCCGAATTCGGCATCACTGACCAAGAGCGGGAACGTACTAGAGACAAATTTAGTTCCTTGTGCAGGCATGAGACATTTCGGGCTTTCGGGGCATGGTGGGCCTAATCCACATGACGTCTCCGAGTTGTGACGAAGGACAGAAGAGGGCTTACGAGTTACATATTACAGCGGGCGCCCGAACCTTTCAGCGCGTGGGAAAGCCTACTCAAAGAACCTTTTCAGACAGCTGTGCACTGACTTTTCACGAGGTCAGGCACTACTTATGACCTACAGGAGTGGTTTCAGCTTCGGATAGCTTCGTGCACGGACAATTTCTCGCCGGGACAAGCTGCAGCGCCTGAGACATCTCTGGGCCTGAGGCCTGAGATCTGAGAGCTTGAGACCTGTGGCGGCCCGAAGGGGGAAATTTACTGCCCGAAGAGAATGCGCGGACCGAGGGCTTTACATAATACGTACTTGCTGTCTTGCTTCCCATGGCCTTACGACGGGCTGTGATGAATACATAGCTACTTACGGGATGCATGCGAGTTTTTGAGTTCATTTGGCTTATGGTAGTGGCGGTAGTCTTTTTGTTACCAGTCACGAGAGACTGCTTCCCGGCCATACCAGGGACCAGGTGCAAGCACTCCACAGAGACAAATTCCACAGTCTTTAAGCGTTACGCTGCGCGGTCCGTACAGGGGAATCATGTCCAAGCTTGGACATGACAGCTGCAGGGTGCCAGCAGTTGCGGCAACATGCCAACCAAGGTAGGCGCCCAAACTAAATCAAATCTGACGTGTCCGACAGGCCGCCGTCGTTATCGTCCGCAACCATTCACCGTTGCCGACCCCGACATTTCTACACTCTTAATATGACTTTCGGTCGTATATTACCAGAAGGTGGATGCTGAAGACTCAGATCAACCGCGTATATGTGAGAGCGACTGAGCAATCCTTCACAACAAAATGACTCCTAGAGAAAGGTGGAGTTCAAAGAAACGGCGTGGAAGAGCAAGTAAGCTTCCATACATTTCCGGCTAAGACTGGTTTCCACGCGCTAAACTGCTAGGCTCTCAACCACGAGAGCATGATTTGCTTGCGCCCTTGCATCCGCGCGTCTTGAGACACAGCTCCCGCGAACCGTTCTCGCAAAGGCATCTACGAGCCGAAGTCTAGCTCCCTGGGGCGCCTGAGGAGGGTTCGCCGAGCCCCGCGTGGATTGCTGTCGCTAGGCAGGACCTCGCTTCCTACTGTTTCTGAGCTGCAGTGAGTTCTTCTATCATTGTATTCTGTTGCATCGTTCTGAACCTCGGCGGAAGACTAGCAGCTGGAGCGGGTGCCCGAACGCTATTCACCCTGCAGCCGATGCCCGTAGATAGAGCGAAACATAGTGACAGAGCGCGGCAGCTGTCGGATGGCGGTACAGAATGGTCAAACAGAGATATCTAACTCGTCAATCATTTCATTCACCAGAATTGTCAAGGGAGAAGCACTTCGCCACGCCATCAGGACTTTCGACAGGCTCTGCTGGCCCAAGGCGCCTGGAGCCCGTATTGCGGCGCATCTTCGAAACAGAAGGCCATGAGCCTGCGGCCAAGCTGTGGAAACTTTCCTTTCGCGTTTCTCAAAGCCCTTCCATACCATCTCGTGCGCACGCTGTCATACTCGGTCTCCGGCTCGCTCTGTCCGAAGCTCTCAGCCAAGTACCAGCTACGACGATGTTTTGTATAAACAAGTCGCAATTGCTTGTGAGCAAAATTTGAACCGCTCCCCTACCTCAATCGCGTTGCGCTTTTGTCCACGATGGCTCTGTCCTAATCAGCGATCATGACGGGCGTACTCGTCAAGCGTCAAGGCGCGCTCCGGCGTCCTGAAAGACTGTTGAGCCGTGCTGCAAACGATCGTGATTTTCCTGTGTGTCTATTCCCGTCCTTCGCTCTTTTGACCGCGAGTACGATACGCTAGTGCATCCCTTGCCCGATTGTTCTTACGGGGTCTTTCGCCTGAAAATGCAGAAACCTTGCCGTGGAGCTCATCAAAAAGGTTTGGCTTATTTCTTGCGGCGTAGACCGGAACATTGCTATCCCATAGGTTTGCGGAATATCATGAGTTGAGACATTGATATCTTGATGTCGGGACCTGTCTCTCGCGGCACTCCTAGATTAAACAAGCGCTCAGTCCCTGCTCGCCTCTCCATATTCTCGACGAGTTGAATGTGCGCCCCTTTCTCTGCGTATCTCCATGCACATGTTCCTGGGACCTGGTTGCGCTCCAGGCCGCTCGTGGATGCTCGTTATGGTCAGATCCTGACTGTGGCGGGCTAGCGTAGCCTGGCGCATGCAGACGAGTTGTGCGAAGTTCGCGCGCAAGCTCATCGTCCCTTTCCATCAGCAAGGTTTGGTGCGCCTGAATTTTGCCCTGCCATGTTTCATGTCACGAACTGCATCCGGGGGATGGGCAGCGTCAGCCGCACTTATCTGTCGTATGACTAGCGGGCCCCGGGGATGATATCGGCTTGGCACTTCAACGAGCTATTTGCTTCCAAGCTGCACCTCACAGCATAGGGCGCGTGCTAATGCTAGTAGTCTCCGTCTTCTGTACAACATATATATTCTTTGCCTTCTTCACCTTTAAGACGCCTGCTAGTCGCCATACGCACGGCCAACAGTTAGTAATCGCTGGCGACCGAGGAGCGGTTGCTTTGGGATTGCCTAGAGGATTCGGCACTCCTCGCAAAGGGCACTGTAAGTAACTAGTACGTATGAAATCTCACCTAGCTACAGTTGGTATCAAGGCCAAGACTTGGTACAGGGAGTGGGTCATCTGCAATATAAATAAAACCGACGGCATACCCAAAAGATCCTGAAGTTCTCGTTTCTCTGCCTCCTTAATCTTCCCGTTGCCCTGTGGTGACGTTGTCTGGCCTCTTAATCCTCTCGCTCCTGCTGTTCCTTACCTCGGCCCTGCTCGCCGCGCAAATTTTCTCTGTCCCTATCTCTTGTGCTCTTAGATCACTTACGCACCTCCTCAATCTCTCTTCGAATTTTCAAGTGCTCCGCCCATGCCTAGATCTCTCTCTGCCGCTGTGCTTCCGCGAATTCTCTCGTCTTATGCTCTTACTGCGCCGCTCTCTTAAGCTCTTCCTTGTGACATTGCGCACCTCTGGGCTATGTGCAAGACCCAGGTCGAGAAACTCTATTGCAGTATGACACTTGTATATATTTACAATGTGGCGCGCAAAATTCAGTAGATTATACAGTCATCGTGCCTCTGCCGTCGCTGCCTTATCCTCTCCATCTCCTCATGGTGACATCGTCTGGCTTCCTCTGCCGCTTGGGCCTCTCGTTCCTGCTGCTCCCTTACTTGTCGCAGGCGTTCTTCTTCGGCCTTGCGTGCTGCGGCCTCCTGCTCAAGCGCGAGCTGCACCTGCCTCAGCCTCTCCTCCTCCCGCTTGCGTGCTTCCTCAATCTCCCTGCGAATTCGCTTCTGGTCTGCTCGTGCTTGAGCTTCCTGCATCGCTCTCTGTCGCTGTACTTCCGCAAGCTCTCTCGCTTTCTGCTCCTCCTGCGCCCTCTTGGCCGCCTCTGCCGCTTCGCGCTGCCTCTGAAGTTCTTCGTCTTGACGGCGCCGCGCCTCGCGCATCTCCTGCGTTCTGAGCTCTTCGTTTGCGGTCGTCTGCTCGAGGGTCTTGCGCTGGTCGACGATCTCGCGTTGAATCTGCAATGCCAGCGGCTGATTCTCGACCAAAACGCGGAGAATGGCTTGTGCAGATTCGGCCGTGTTGTAATGGCGCATCATCCGCGCGCCTTTGTCGATAACGGGCTTGAACAGGGCGTTGTCCGCCGCGAGCTCGCGTTCGCGCGCTGCGCCTTTCTGCTCGCCCACCTCGGACCACATGTTCGTGACGATGATAACGTTCTTGAGTGTCGTCTCGCCACAAAGAGACCTGAACATGCCGAAGTTGCGGCGTGAGATACCGCCTACCTTGAAGTCGGAGATGCGGTGCATGTAGATAACTCCGCTCAGCTTCTTGTTTTCACGGTACCTACGAACATGGGTCAGCGACTGCTGATTCAGAAGCTGGCGTACCCACGCATTCGCGAGGAATGAAGCAATGTGTTTCAAGATTTCTGTGTCTGTCTTGAGGGTATCGTCGAATCCGGGGGTGTCTATCAAGGTCACCTGGCGCCCGAACAGCTCGAACGGCTTCGAGGTCTGCACCTCAGGCGTACAGGAGCGCAATCCTTCTCCAACCTGCAGCTGCGAGCCGCTTATCAGGTTGACGAACTGTGCATGCGCATTAGCGTACCATCACCAAAAGACTGGCCGTTAGTGTCAGCACTCACTGTCGATTTTCCCGCGCCAGTCGCTCCCATTACACTGTCAATCTTCGGTTATACCACAGTGATTCATCGTCCGCGGACCACTCACGCTACAAGGACGTCAGACATTTTGGTGGGTCGTTGGGGTTAAACGAGATGGCCGATATGCGGGCCATATAACAGGCTTATATGGACCAAACCATGCGGCCCGTCAAATGACAGCGACTTACTGCCCGCAAAGGCACGCGCCGGGCGTGCTCGAGCGCAGCTGCTTCTCTGCCTGTCCTCCGAAGATAGCGGCGTTGACCACTGAGCCTCGCTTGACATGCCCACCGATATTGCTTTACTACTTTAACTATTTCTGTATCAGATGAAACCTAATACAACGATGTGCAGCTCACGTACAGGCTCCTACTTTGAGCATCTCTGCACCGCATGAAACCTAATACAGCGATATGCAAGCCACGCACAAACCCGCATTCCGCGAAATGCATATGACCATGCTTATGAGACACCACCCAGCCACTTCTCGTAGTCAAATTGGATGGGCAGCTGTTCCTTCTCGCCCGCGAAGTCCGAGGTGAACGGCCGGCCTTTTTCCACATACCCCGCGTATAGGTCGACATCCTTATCCCTGACGCTGGATCGGTGCCACAGGTCGCTAGCGAAACTGCGCCCTCGTGCGTCCGCTGGTCCTTGCGCGCTTTGTACTCTTGTGGCGCACGTGACAGCTCCTGACACTGGGCGACGTACGCGCCGTATTCCGCCTCCTCCTCAGGCGGAACGCTCGGGTCGAGGAGCGCCGCGGCGATGTACTCGGTCGAACCCTTGCCGGGCCTGAGTTCCGTCTTAGTCACTTTGGATGGTGGAGCGTACCACGTCTCGATATGTGTACTCTTTCGGCTTGTTGGCGAGCCGGAGGCCATCCAGCGACGCACGCCGTCCATGAGGCTGCAAAACCGATTAGCGTGGTCTTTACTTCCACCCTATCGATACATACCGTGGCGAGTGGTGCGCAGTGGTGTGCCTAGGCATGAACGGGCTTGGGCTCCTGTGCTGCTCGGCGTCATGTGTACTTTTCCTGCGACATGTTCTTCGTGTTAGTATGAAACGGCGATACGAAATTTCAGAACTCACCCAGGCAGTTTTAGCGTGCTATTCATCGAATACACGAAGTGCTTCCCCAGACTGGTGAACAGCAGCGGGCGATAGTACTCGACCCAAAAGTCGCCCCGCTCCTGCACGAACTGCTGGATGCCTCTCTCGCATTCGTCGATATCGTACGCGGTTTCGAGATGCTCTTTCTTGTACCAGTCGCGGTACGAGCCACGTTGGACACTCTGTGTAATAGGCCGGTCGCTCTGGATGCCGAGGAATAGGTTGATAGCTGCTTGTTTGTCCGCGTCGAGCAGTGAGTTAGTGTAGAACCGCCGGAAGTTCTCGATGATGTCGCGCGAGTGACCGTTCCAATGTGGCATTCTTCGGTAGGTTTCGACGCGATTGACAAGCGCGCTGCCCGTGTACTGCATCGCCAACGCTGAGCGCCAAATATCATCGACCGTCAGCAGCCATTCTCTATTAAGGCGAAGCATACACATACTGTCCCCGTGGTCATGGTACATCTCTGTGAGCATGTTCACTGCGTCGCTGTCGAAAGCCAGATTGGGCGAGTCGACAACACCAAGCGCGTAGAGCTGATGCCCTAGCGCCCGCTTTCCGAACACAAACTGCGCAGCGTTCGTGCGATCAAGGCAGTCCACGCAGTTTGTGCGACAGATGCCGTTCTGAAGTGACATGCAGCTGCGCCAGGGAATATTTGTACCTGTTATTCTGTCGATTACATGACGGTGAGTTCAGGAGCCCGTCCATGAACGAAGAACACACGACGTACTCATATTCGATTTCATTCCGTAAGAAGTGGCTGTAGGGTTCGAGGCCCGAGTGAAAGAAACCTGTCATCATGATACTTTCTTCTGCAATATCCTACGCAGCAAACATGAGCATGAGCAGAAGGCTTAGGAAGTCAGCCATACCTGTGACGCACCTCGAGATACCCAATGACATCTAGCGTCTTCTACTTATACGCATGGCTCATGTCCCATGCACGATATACCATCCTCTTGTCCGGAGGCAATAACTGGTTCAGGTAATTGACGCAGTTGGTGTACTCCTGGAGTAGTTTGCTTTCTCGCGGCTGCGGCTCTCGCTTCTTGATTAAATTGAGTATCGTGACCGGCGCGCCGTACCGCGCAAATAAGTCATCGAAATGCTTCGACGCTGCGGTGTAGAACGGGTCCATCACGCTGACTGCCTGGAATGAGATGCGATATTGAAAGGGAGGAAAGGACATACTTTCTATCGGGGGCTCGGGCACAATGGCGTTGGTCTCTTGCGTCCAATAAATCGGTATGCTTCCACGGTACTATTGGTTCGGTCAGCTGAATCGCCACGCCTTATGATGCTCGACTGATGCGCACCTGGACGAAGCTAGTGAAATTGGGGCTTGGCCGCCTTGGAGGCCGACTCGGGCTCTTCTCTTCGTTGCTTGGAGATGACAGTGGTGCAGGGTAGTAGAAGGGCGTGGTTAGCATTTCGGAGACGATCTGCTCCGTCTCAACCTCGTTTGCGACATTGTCCTGGACAGAACGTCAGCCAGCTGTAGGGTGAGAAATGAATTTAAAGCACCTCGTCGTTAACCCCACGTTTGAGATATCGCGCTCCTGCATGATGTCTTGAACGGCGCGCTATGAGTGTGATGAAGATTACGCGTCCGAGAACGGTCAGCTCTAGCGACACAAGTTAGCATCCCTGTGGGAAGGTTGAGCCAGTGCTCGACCTACTGGCCTGATCAACGTGTCCATGGACAAGCGGAACTATCCACTGGGATATAAGGTGCACATCTCGCTGTTTCTCGCTGTCTGACATGGACGACTCCTGAGATGCGCGGGTCATCATGTGGTAGTTCCACGCAAAGCGGAAGTTAAACATTCGGCGGGCGTTCGGACGAGTAAGGTTGTGTTGCAGAGTCGATGTCAAATCGTATGGATGGATAGATACATTGTTCATGGAGCCGCACTAGGGAAACGAGATGCTCGGCGTACCTGAAGTAGAAGTTCTTAGTGAGGTCAACCTGCTTCCAGATGTTCAGGAGCCTCTGCTCCTCAGCTGGCTTATCAACTTTGTGACTTGATGACACTGGGAGTATGTCGACCTCTTCGGTGTGGTAGATGTAGTGTCCTCCGAGAAGTGCCACGGGACATCGTCTCGAGATGAGCACCATGTACCACCCTGCGGTAAACCTGATGAATCCCAGCCATCACCAGGATTTAGGGCATACATTTTGTTTGTACATGGAAGCACGCACCAGCAACACCAAAGAACAGCTTCGGATTACCGAGACCACCGTTCGCCCTGTTCCCATCCTCGAGCATCTTTAGCATAGCGGTCATCTGTTTTCCGCTGTACGTTGCGTCGTCTTCAACGACATTGAGCTTCTCTCCCTGCGTAGTACGATCAATCTTGATGATTTTATGTCTTGAGTCTGCGGCATTCGAGACGACGATGTAGAACCGGAGTTTGTTCTCGTATAGGATGAATTTGTTGAAGGACATGCTGCGTGCGGAACAGTGGTGCCAGGGTATAGAGTGACAGCGGGTATCGGGGATATATTGAAGGAGCGAAGTCGCTGTGGGGTCGTTAGGGGCCACTGGGCAGGGGTCAAGTCGGGCATGTGCGGGACGACGTCAAGAGAGGTGCGCTTGAGGGCGCGTCAAATCCAAATCCGGAAAGGTACGCGTGATATCGCGCTAGCGCCAACGGTGCCAGGGTGCGAGACCCGCGTTCGCCATATAACCAACCATTGTCGCGCGCGATTCAGAGTAAGAAGCACTCCCTGCATAATTTGTCGTGTAATTCAGATATGTACTCGTCATGACCGCGTATCAACGTTCCCTGGCATGTGTCCCCTTGAGCGCGACTAGGTCGCCTCATCCGCAGTTGACGATGCCTCATGACTGTCTTCCTCATCGCGCAGCAGCATCTCCGCAGCTGCGTGTAATACACTCGTTCTAGCATCTAAGACATTCACATGTAAAACTTTTCAGGTTGTCAAGTTCTCGGGCTTACAACTGCGCGCATTCATATGGGAGACATTCCAGAGTGCGAGCACGACTATAAGATTCTCTAGCTTTTGAGAGCAAAAATCTCTCACCAAGCGACCTCCGGCGATTATTGTTTACTGCCCAGCGCCCACCAGCAAGAATGTCGAAGGCCCCAGTGGTGCAAGACTTTGCTCTCCCTGTCGGTGCTGTTCGCGACTTCACGTACGAGAGCAAGCGTCGCAGGTGGTTCTCGGCTATTCTTGCTTTAGTCGCTCTGGGAGCCACCGCTATCTTTTTTGCGTACCAAGGCCACCTTGCCAGGGTCCTGATACTCGGCCGACATACAGGGATCAATTATTTGGATTCGTTTTACCACAGTGCTAAGACGCACGATGACCTATGCGTAGGGGGAGTTTCGCATTCGGGATACATCGGTCTAGAGGGCGATAGTGAGGGTAAACCAAAGAGGTCCTTCTTCTGGTGCGTCGCTCGCTTGCATTTCTCACACCCTGCACCTTTAACAACATTCCCCAGGTACTTTGAAGCGCAACATGGCCCCGAGAACGCGCCAATAATGTATGTGCTCGTCCCGGAAAGTGGTATTTATTTGACCCTTTTTTTACAGACTGACCATTGGTGGCGGCCCCGGGACTAGCGGAATGATCAATCCTCTGTTCGGCCGTAAGTCCCATTCGTACAACATAGTTCACGCAGCCGATACTAATTGTATTATCAGAATCGCACTGCAAGGTCTCTCCAAACCTCACAACGCACCTGAACCCCAATGCTTGGTCTGAACACCACAATCTACTCGCCCTCGATCACGCACGTAGCCCTCTGCTTGGCTTGGCTTGTACCATCAGATGACAACGCCTTTTCACAGCCTATTGGTGTAGGATACTCTTATGGTACAATGGTCAACAACTCGCGCGACGCGGCGCATGATGTATACGACTTCCTGCTTAAGTTCTTCCATCTGTATCCACACCTTGCCAAGCACGTTTCCTGCTCTCGCTCTCTCTTCACGTCATTTTAACCTGAAAACATGCAGAAATCAATTTGTTCTCGCCAGCGGGTCTTATGGTGGCGTAAGTCTCATGTACTGGTGACTGGTTGATCTCGCTGACGCTGACGAAAGATTTATGTGCCACATATTGCAACAGTTATTCACGAGCAGAACGCTGCGCTCGCGGCGGGACGCGGTGTCCCCGGGGCAATACACATCAACCTTGAAAGCATAATGATCAGCAACCCGCTATCGGTGCGTCTCGTTAGCCCGGGCGAATATCTTGACGCCCTTGTTTTTTCTCGGTCGTTATCCTAATAAATCTCTCCACCAACAGGACTGGCTCTCGCATCATCGCTGGGCGTTACACCAGCGGTGCTTCCTCACCGACCTCTACAACACGAGTACTTGTCATGCTTCGTTCAGGAAGCTGCCCGCATGTCTCGAGGCCTCTCAAATGGCCTACATGGATGATACTATTGAGCATCGCTTGATTGCAACCGACGCATGCGACAGCATATATCCGGAGATTGTCGAGGGACGAGCCTACGAAAACGTCGAGCTCCACGTGCGCCTCCCACTGCCATACCCGATCTCAATCTTGGCACTGACTATAGGTGGCTAGTGTGACGGTACAGTCGAAGACTGTTACCCTGCTGTGGTGCGTGTAGTCGCATTTATGAATCTTGCGAGCACGAAGGAGAAGCTCGGTGTACCCGACGCGTTCAATTTTACTTTCTTGAGCGAGGAGGTGGGGAATGCGTTCCGCGAGACAGGCGATATGTATGAATGGCTTTCAACATTTCTTAACTCGTACTGAGATGCTACTATGCTTTCCCAGAGTCCAGCAGGCGTATCTTTTGTACGAACCCCTCCTTAAAGCAGGCTATCGACTCCTTCGTACGTGCGCCTCCGCCCCTTTTGCAGAAAAGCGAAGCTCATTCCTGTGAGCAGACTACATCGGCAAGCTTGATGCCAACTGCGGCTGGCCGGGCATACTCTCGACTGTACGTTCACCTCCGTCCGCTCTCTACCGTCACCTCCTCATCCAAGACAACACAGCTTCGCCTTCTTCCATCGCCATATCAATCCACGTTCAATGATGTGCTTGACCTACCTTGGCCTGGACACGAAGCGACGGTACGCACTGTTGGTAGCAACAACGAGGAGAGAAATGGCGCGGGTACCTTCGCATTCGTGCTCATGGCGCGAGCGGGTCATCTCGTGACGCACGATCAGCCGGCGCTCGTTCCCGAGATTGTGCGTCGGTGGGTCGCAAATATTGCATGGAACGATACGCTAGATACGATGAACTAGGGTGGGCAGATTCTTTTTAGTGCTGGTTAAGTGATAACAACTGCGGCCACTCCGAAATCACCGTCAATTTTTCATGACACTACGTATAATAAAAACTGTTGTACCCACAATCAATGAGCTTTCTCTCGCAGAATCCAGTCAGCGGTTGTGCGCTCGGATAGTGCGTGGTGACGTGGTGCATCATTCTTGCTTGTCTGCGCGGGGACTTCCGTGTCGAGTTGTTGCAGCAGATTCTGCAGGAAATAGTTAAAATGAATATAAAAGCACGCGTAGTTGTTGCTCGTATGCTCTTAGTGGTAACAAGCAGGATGTGAGAGAAAGCGCTGCTTATTGTCTCCACGTTTGAAAGACCTGCTCCTTATGCAAGACACTACACTTCGGTCACGAAAAATTCCAACCACAATCTACGCAACTCATCCATCGTCCTATCATACTCAATTTCAATAACCTCAGCTGGCACTACCCGCGTCAGATATCCTGATATGCCTGTTCAAGTGGAGGCGAGTGCGCAGCCAATACCAGTACTGTTCTGTTCGCAGCCGTCAGCATTTCCCACTTCTTTGCAGGAAGAAGACGAGCTTATTACGATGCCGTTCGATCACGACATGCCACCACACCTGGGAGCCGGAGCCGACGCTAACGACACTGATGGGGACGCAGGTCAGCTTGATCAGATCGTTACTGCACTCGCGTCGATGCCGATGGCCTCCAGCATAGCGACGGCTACGGATGAGTCCGCCTGAAAGCGCATAGTCAGTCAGCTGAGGGCGCGGAGGAAGCGCGAGGAGTACACGCACGCTCTTGGTACTGGCACAGCACGTCGTGGTCTGCACCGGGGTCCGCCCAACGACAGGAGCGGGAGTGGCGGTCGCAGGACGAGTGAGGGAGAGCGCGGAGAACAGCGAGAACGTGAGAGAGCATCTTGAGTGCGTCGAGATAGCAGGAGTGTGCGGGCCTGCCAAGGTTCTGAGGTTGCTTCACCGCCGGCGTACAGTGCGAAGCCGGGCTTGCTGTCGAAAGCGCCGCTCTCGGGATGGTTGGCGATAATCTGAAACCTTGCCTTCGTGATGATCATACTGAGGATAGAGTTGAAAGTTCTGTACTATTCCGCTAAAAGTCAGAGAAGATAGCTTACCACGAACGAAGTTAGGACGCACAATAATGAGATACATCGGGCTCTCAAGTCTCCGATTAGGCGTAGGTTTGGGGCTACCAGTAACCGCGTGGCAGACGAGAATATACCCGCGCAAGTTCTGCGTGCAACACACAAGGGCGCAGACAACGGCAGACCACGGGCTGAGCGAACGGACGCTGCGTGAGCCGTGCAAAGCCGATAGATCCTACATAGTAAGCAGTGGGCTGTGGGCGTTGAAGTGGATAACCTACGAGATACCTAGCCACCTTCAAGCCATACTGCTCGATGAAAGATATCGTGACATTACAGGCGCGTTTCGCGGTCGAGAACAGCGAATGTGTTCGCAGAGCCGCGATGATCAGACGAGAGACGCGTCAAGATGCTTCGAACGCCGAGCCCCGTAGTGGCACACCGTCCGAGAGTTTGAGGGTCGGCTCAGCTCCGACTCGACATAGTCTGGCGCCATCATTGTTCATTAAGCCCAAAACTGGCAGAGCGAAGGCGTAGCAGTGCCTGCGGGATGTGCGGAAGGATCTGCGTGCTATGCTCTACGCCAAGGCCCAAGGGTGTATCACCTGTTGCTGTAAATCATTCAAGGCGGCCATGGTTGTTGCTGCATAATGCGACTGACGAGCTTGAATAGTAGAGTAAGTCAACCGGCGGGATCTTGCTGGACGGGTTGAGAGAGGCAGGTCGAAGTGTGACACTGCGAGGGATTATGAGCAGCTGCAGCAAACTGCGGGGTCTCATACCTTTGATGGTATGACCCCGAACAGTCCCTACCGTGGCGAGAGCACGTTACACGTCCTGTTGCCATACATGTGATCTGTGTTTTATGTGCAGGTCGTGATGCCTGACATGATCAGTGCTGATAAAATGTAGAGCCTACAATATCCTACCAAAAGATACAAGTGACGATGCGAGTGCCCCGGGCCGCGCCAAAGAAGGCAGGGAGACGGTCGAATCTACTATGTTGTTGAAACAGCCGAGCTGGACATGAAAAGCATCTAGTCACGCTGATGAGATTATATACAATGAATTTATAGTATGTGAAGAGTCAAGCTTCTCTGCTTTCGTCGCAATTCGATATTATCAAACTTTGGATCCACAATCAACCAAATACCTCATCGTACTACACTCTGAGGGCCTGGGGCGCGCATTCAAATCTCTGGGTCTAAGCCGCCAGACGTCGGCAAGGCACTCGCGATTCAGTGGTTGTGCAGTATGTATGTGTCACTCCCGTACGCGATATATCGCGCGCCAATGCCGATGGCATGCGAACGATCGTGCACGGCGACAGCTAGGACGATCGCCTCGCCGGCATGTACCCGGTTCCATAAGCTGGAGGAGGAGCACTGAAAGAATGAAGGAGAGAGGGCGGCTTATCTGTCAGACGCTGGTCTGGTACGTCATGTTCTTGTTGCTGAGCATTAGTACGTGTAGCTGCGCTTCGAACTATGTGCCCCTGTCGTAAGCTTGAACGCTCGCGCGAAAAATTGCTCTAATCGTAGTATATTAACGAGTATCGTACAAATACAGAACAGGATATAGCCACGGGATGTATATCCTAATATCATAGGTTTGCGGTCTATCTGTACAAATGGGGGGGGGGGAGGCTGAATGGCGTCAGCACGTCAGCCTGCGCATGCTACCCGTTCAATCGTCCATAACACCCTGGGCCTGCCTTTAGAACCTGCGAACGCCCGACTTGCTGTTCTCGATGTGGTGCGAAATGGCGCTGAGCGTTTGGAACTGCGCAGTGCAGCCCTCGAGGGCCATCAGGCACCTGTACATGGGCTCGTCATGTGCGGCGCTCTGCAGGTGCGCGTTGAGGTGTGGCAGCTTGGGGAATGTGCGGTGAGATAACACGCATTTGAATGAGCTCGCGTTCCACGAAGCCTGCATCGCCCATTTCGCGACAGGGCCGCGCAGTGCGCACGCACTGCCGTTGCCCTGGATGAGCCGGCGGGCGTTGTTGGGGAGGCGGTTGTGGTCGTTCGCGGCTACCGTGTGGTTGACGATCTCGCGGATGGCGCCTGGAGAGCATGCCCCGCTCTCTGAGTGCAGAACTAGATCGGCGTGCGAGGCAAAGGTACGGGTGCAGCTCCTGTCTAGGCATTGAATAGCCTTGAGCAGGTGTGCGCTTGTGCTGTATGAGACTGTTTTCGCTTGCAAATTCCTGTCCACACGTTGTGCAGTACCGGTGACTCTGCTGGTTGTGCTTCTGGAGGCCGAGCTTTGAGTCGAGGATCTGAAGGGCGACTTCGTTAGCAGTTGCATAGCCTTGGCTGGGCATCCGCGCACCTGGGTGCACAACGAGCAGTACCAGTGGCCATTCATGTAATGGTGCTGTAAAAATATGTGGAGTCGAAGTGCCTGTTGCAGCGTTGGCATTGTGGTGCCAGGGCTTTGCACGTAGTGTTGCGTGAGGCTCCGTTCAGATACACAGTTCTTGCCACGATCGTAGTGGATCCAGTATCTGCTAGACATACGCTCGTGCTACCAGAGGGCATTGTCACTGCTAAATAAATGATCACAGCGGTTGCAGTAGGCCATCGTCTTCAAGAGGAATATGCGCTGACGGTGCAGGATCTGCGGCGTCCAAAACAACCCCGAGTACTGTTGTTGCCTGAACACGTTGAGCTAGACTTGGTCACTTACGCGGGTGGTCAATCAAAAGAGGGGTAAAGTGTGCTTCGCGTCTTCCAGTTGAAATGCACTTTCTGCCTTGTGGTGGTTCGGTGCGTAGCTTCACACCGGCGGGTGCCAGAACAGAGAGCTACAAGTGATGCGCCCTTTCAGGCTTGCTCGCGTGGCAATTTGATGTGCCTTGCTGCTGACGCCCAGCTCCGTGCGCAGCTTGGAAGCAAAATCTGGCGGCGGCACTTCTCGCATCCCAGCAAAAAGCGATGTGACCGCCAAAGCTTCAGCGCAACAACGGGATGTCTTGTTGGGGGCTGGCATGCCAATATTGTGCCATATCACCTACTTTCAGCGGCGAAGCGCAGGTTCACTCGAGGCCAAGGCTGTCTTCCTGATGGCACTACGTGAGGATAAGTTTCGCTGTCCCGAGATTTGAAAGACTTTTACCATACAGGGGAGAGGGGGAGGGGGCAGTTTCCAATAATAATGCATCTCGCATATCGGGAGCGATTCCATTTCGAATAAAGCAAGTCGGATAGGGTGGGAGGAACTGCATATGCAAGCGCTGATGCGTTTTGGACGGGCAGGCACTAACAAACTTCGTCTGGGTGGTACTAAAGACAATTAGACACGGTTCCAGACGTGTTCTACGATGCGTACAAGTCCTTAGATGCATCAAAGGTAAGGCCGCTCTCATTTCAACATGTATATATATATATATATATATATACGTATCGCAGTGTTCGAGCTTCAAGCTCGGGAAGCTTGCTAAATGCGTAGCTACTTTACCATCAAGCAAGCTGCTGGTGAGCACGCCTTCACCATATTGATGTAGAGCTTACTGATTGCGCAAATATAGGTCGAATTACTGGCTTTGACATGCGATGATCTGCAACAAAACACTCTCTGCCGGGGAGGTGCCAGATATGTCATTGTTTGTGCAAAGCTGGAAGGAACTGATATTCCTTCCATGGATTTGGGGAGTCTCAGACGCTTTGCAGGCCACCACAGTGAGCGGCACGAGACGAGCGGCGGTTTCGCCTGCATCACAAATGTGCCTCGCTATCGCCAAGCGCACTAGCGGAAAAATATACCCGTGCACTGACAGTACTTATGCTCAAGTTGGCGTTTCTCCACGTGACAATGCGGTACCTCCATTCCCACGCCGGTAGCCTCGCTTGCGCTACGATTCGTGACGGGTCGGTTTGCTCTCGACCTCTCACCATGCCCCCTGCGCCTGTATACCATGGGCCGCCCCTCGTCTATCTTCAGGATGCCTGCAGAATGCACAAGGCTCCGCGTAGCAAATTTTACACACACTGCGAACGGCCAGAGAGGCTTCGTTCTGTGCGTGTAGGGCTGGCGGCCTTGTACGCACTCATGGAGGCGAAGCTTGCTGTCGTCGGAGCTAGAGACATTTTTCCTTTCCTCATCGTTCATAGTGCTGCCTCGGTCAACGTCTTGGATTCGGAACTCGTTCGCTCCGTACACAAGCTTGGACACGGGAACGATGGCGGAGAGAAGTCCCTTGTCGACGAGATCGCCAGTTGGTGCGGGCGAGGTCTTAAAGTACATGACTGGGCGCAGCGAAATGAGCTGATTACTAGGCGTGAAGTTCCCGACTTGTACCGTAAGTGAACTTGCTCAACGTCCGAGGTTGCTGTGTCATATTAACATTGTTTAATAGTTTGCACTGATAGCATGCATGCGCTAAATGGCAGTGTAGGAACACTGTTGGAAGCCGTCGTAGATGTCTGTGGTGCTTCAAATGGAAAGGAAACGAAGTCAAGACATGTCCTGAATATCGCACCACGAGCATTCGTGGTAGTGCGTCCTCCTGGTCATCATTGTGATAGAGTGAGTGCTATAACCTGCTCTTCCGCAAGCTACCACGCCTAATGTCGAATAACAAAATTTAGGAGACGCCTGCAGGATTTTGCTTCATTAATAACGTCGTCATTGCTGCCAATCACGGTGAGTGTATCCTCAGGCGGATCCAAGTATACTCATATGTAATAATGTTGCGCTATGTGTATCAAGCATACCAGCAGTTTCAAATGCGTCGGATCGTGATATTCGATATTGATCTCCACCATGGTCAGCTCTCCCTCGCCGTACGATATTATTCCATTAAGGGCTTGTTTTATACTAGGCGATGGAACTCAAAGATTGATACTCGAAAGCGATCAGGATCCCTTGTTCTTTTACGGCGGGATACATGATCCTACCAGCTACCCTTGCGACGTAAGTACTACTAGCATCCGATTCGGTTTCGTGGAACAGACTGGTGGGTTTTATCCTTAGTCTGAAAAAGGGTCCTTGGAGGCAACGCTACAAGTCCACCCTGCTACGAGGCCGAACTGCCTGGGGGTTTGCAACATCCCTTTGCAGGACTACCAGGAAGAGGAGGAATTTTGGGCGCAATACGCAGAGACCTATGCTGGTGTCTTTACCGAGGCCGCGGCGGCCATCAAGAGCAGCGGCAAAGCTGACGACGTTTTCGTCATCATCAGGTACGTTATATCCAGTGTATCTTGCTGTCGATATCCTTCTCAAGGATGTATTGTAGCTGTGGCTTTGATGCCTCAGAATTTGAGAACGCAAGTATATCGAACGGAGGAAAACGCGTCCCCACCCCATTCTACCACCGTTTCACTCGCGACGCCTGCGCATTCGCTGATAAATACGCCTCTGGACGTATACTCAGCGTTCTTGAAGGTGGGTATGCCGATCGGGCCCTCATCAGCGGGACGATGGCTCATATCGCGGCGCTTGCGGAGGCCGGAGGGGCAAGAACTGACCATAGCTGGTGGAGTGCGCAGGAACTGTCCAAGGCAAGACATCCGCCGTTTTCTAAACATGCCACTAAGGTTTTCTGATGGACGCATTCTAAAGATCGAACAATATGCTTCTCAGCGGCGCCAAAGTGAGTGGCCAGCCGGCCAGGAATGGTTAGGATCGATGCAGAAGCATGTCTGGAATCTCGGACATGCTCCGTCGCCGAAGATTTCTTATACGCCAGAAGAATCTCAAATATACGCTCCGCCTTCCTTTCCCCGGTCAAAAACAGCAGCGCTTGCCCGAAGCGTAAAACAGACTCCAGTATTAGAGGCGCCGACGTTAACGCAGTATACCGGAAGCTCTGCGAGTGCAATAGCCAGCGACGCGGATAGACAGACAGACTGGAACAAGCAGGCCAGTACAGATATTGCCAGTAGAGGTCAATCGCCAGGAAATCGCGCAGATATGGACGACCAGTGGTCTCAACGTTCGTCTTGCGCCACGGGTGTAGATCACGAGAAGACCTATTCCGGTGCCCCGTTTGTCTTCCTACAAGACGCGTGTCTTCGGCACAAGCACACGAGCAATGGGAACATTTCAGAGCATATCGAGCGTCCAGAGCGGCTTCACGCCGTTAACGTGGGACTGGCGAGCTTGTATTCTTGCCTGGAAGCGTCCGCTACCGGCTCAGAAACTGCGCTGTCTATCCGAGTAGGTAGGGCTCCTCTCACCATCGTATGTAGCGCCGCTTCAGTGGACATTCGGAAAGATGTACACGTGCGGGAAGCGTGTTACTATGGTATCACAGAATCAGCGGACGACGGACAGCCATCGCCACTCATAGAGGCGATATCCTCTCGATGTGCACAAGGTCTGTCGGTGAGCAAGTGGGACTCCCCAGAGCTGTTCCGTACGTCTGCCTCTCTCGAGACTATTCTTGAATTCTAATATACATTTCAATACTCCGTAGTCGTCCCTGATAGCATACATGCCCTCAACGGCGCAGTGAGCACTCTTTATCAGGCTGTGGAAGCTGTGTACAAGGCGTCTGCTAGTAACTCGGAAGAGGGAGAGTTATCCGACACTACAGCAAGTACGCCGCGAGCATTCGTCGCAGTTCGTCCTCCAGGGCATCACAGTGACAATGTATACGTTCTTATGCTCCTCCCATGTCGAGCCTATTCGCGCTGACGGCATACGCACTTCATTCAGTTCGAACCAGCGCATTTTTCTTTCGTTAACAACGTCATGATGGCCGCACGCTATGGTAAGCCTCTATTATCTTCCTGGAAAGTGAAAGAGGCTCTCACGTTGGTCAAAGCTTGGGGGAAGTTTGGTCTGCGACGGTGTGTAATCTTTGATATAGACAGGCATCACGGTACCATGTCCTCTCAACACCACTTGCGCTTCCTCACCATACTTCGTATTTTATAGGTTCTGGAACGCAAGGAATTGTTGCAAAAGATGACGAGGGGCCTGTCCTCTGTTATCTTGGTCTTTATGACCCTACGGCCTATCCCTGTAACGTAGGCAACCGGCTTAGTGGCGCTCGCTAGCGCACCGTGACTGATTAATATGTCGAGCAGACACCGCAGGGTCTACTCAATGCATCACAAAGGATCTTTAGCCCCGTCTCACCCTATAAATGCATTTTGAACGTCCCCCTCGAAGGATATCGAGAAACGGAAGAATTCTGGGCCAGATATTCGAGCAATTACAGCGAGCTCTTTGTCGAGGCCGCCAAGTTTATTGAAGTCACAGATCGCTCCTTCGATAATAACAATGACGTCGTGGTTTTCATAAGGTCAGGCGCAAGAGAACATTTGCATTCAGCTAGCTCTCAACAGGAAATTTGCAGCTGTGGCTTTAATGCTTCGGAATACGAGACGGAGGGCATCTCATCAGACAGTACCATACGAGTCCCGACGTCGTTCTACCACCGTTTTACGCTCGACGCCTGTGCCTTCGCAAATAAGTATGCGTCAGGGCGCATAATTAGCGTCCTGGAGGGCGGATACTCTTACCGTGCTCTGATAAGTGGCACGATGGCGCACGTCGCCGCACTTGCCGAGGCCGGAGGGGCAAATGTCGACGAGAGGTGGTGGAGCGCGCAACAGTTAAACGAGGTCTGTCTCCCTGTTCAGTATCGCCGTCTTTTGGAATGCTGAGCGCGGTTCATAGATCCAGAAGCATGCAGCTCAGGTGTCTCCAGGGCGAGTACCGAGCGGGACTGACTGGCTGTCGCGTATGCAACGGATCGTCTACGATCTGAATGTCATGCCAGGGCATACAAAAAGGAACTATACTACAATCTATACCCCACCACTGCTTCCGCAGATACCTACTACCTGTGCAGTATCTCTGAACAGCGATCGGAGCCGAACGGGACAGGTCGTTTTCCTCTCCGGTGAATCGAAGCGTGTGCGTGCTGAGGACCCGGAACACGCAGAAGAGCCGGCAGCCAAGACGAGACGTATCGACTCGGTACCTGAAGCCGCGGCACAGACCAATGCGGATATTAACGCTTTCGATGCTGAGCATGATCCAAGAAACATGGCGGACCAGCAATTTAATATGTGGATTCGCGAAGAGTGTCGCAAAATGGCGTATACGTTGGCACGGATCGCAGGGCTTGTTGAAATAAGACTACGAGGGGGTGCTACTGTGGAGCAAGATGCTGATGATCTATGACTATGTAGTGATACATGTATGCATTTCCGTAAACGATACAAATACACCAGCCCGAGACGCAATGTGCCCTCTCCGCACTTAGTATGCAGTTTCTCCGCTGTCCGCCCCACTAAACACCTAGGATCTGACTTGCTCGCACCTACTGTATCAGAAGCGCGTGAAGATGCTGCCTATTATTCGCCACACCAGAAGTACTGAGGCGTATTCCAGCCTGCCCGGTACCATGAAGCACATACGAATTAGAGAGGCTGTCGCGCAGCCTGTGTCGCGATTCGTGAGCTGATGTGGCACGTCCTGGATCGCACGTACACACTTCAACGTCCTTCAGCTGCTTCTGATAGCGCGAGTCAATGAACAGTCAGGCCATCAACAGCAGAGACGTGATATTGACCAAAGGTGAGGAAGCTCTCTAGTGATGGCGGCGAGAGCCCCGACTTTGATCCCGATCCGATCAATCTACGGCTGGGCGCCTCGAGGCAGCGACGCCGGGACTCTACTACGCTTCCCTTCGCCTCTGACTCTGCAGCATATGACCTGGACTGGCGAACACTCTCAGCAACCTGCACACACATCCTTCCACCCTGTGTTTTTCTAAGCTAATATAGATAGGCGTTTCATATAATAATAAGTCTTCTGAGAACGAGACCGCGATGCATCCGAGTCGAGCGTGCTCCCTGAGCGGTGTCGGGCGCTGTATGCGGCTTCTGCGCATGTGATAGCAAGTACGTGGCCTGTCTCACTTCTTTTGCCTAGTAATGATACTGGGCATCTCAGCAATTAGAACGAGGGATACGACGATGATGCATAGGCTATAGCTGTACAATGTGGCAGTGGGCTGGAGGCTGTATTGATTGGCTGTTGCAATGCACGTTTGAAAACTTCTGATGCGCGTAAGCTGTGTGAGTAGCCTGCTGTGATATGATATATACGCTGCCCTAGTACGTCGCCATGGAGCTTTCCCCACCCTCTCTCCAGCCAACCGCACCCTAGTCATGCCATGGCTACCACACACACGTGACTATCTGGCAGGGATGGCTTTTGGCGAGTCTTTCGGTTACAGGCCTCTACCAGAGATATGGAAAACATTTGCGTACTCCGGCACAAAACCAGACTCTGTACTTGACCAAGATGAGCTCACGGTCAACACAACCTTCGATGGCTACGAAGACATAGAGTCGTCGAGATTATACATTGCGAGTCGGAGTGTGGATTTGGAATATCCATTCTTCTACTACGAGCTGTACGTCGAATCGCTCTTCTGTGGTAATGGTGCAAGGTGAGCAAAATAATCCATACACTTTCATCATGGCTTGCACCAATATCATTTGCCTCCTTGCTTAGTATACACATCAACATCGGGTTCGTGTCCAATCTACTAGGCTTCCACCACTATCTCTAACTGCGAGCCTCGGCCATGCAGTATGAGGGCCGAGAACTGCTGGCCAAAACTTGCTAGGAGCCTTGGAGAGCCATCATTTGAGGACAACGACCTGGCATATTACTATGGCAAATTCAACGCAACGAACACATTTGAGTGCCATCTTCCTGGTATGGATGTCTTAAGCCCTGTCAAACGTGAGCTCGTAGAAATTGTTACGAGCGTTGTATGGCTGCACACTGACCTAGGCCTGTGACCTCGCAGCCGGAGACACACTTGGCTGCGGGTACTCATGTGCTGAGGGTCGCATCTTTTACACTAAGAATGGACGTCGCCTTGGTGAAATGATTATAATTTTTTTGCGGAATAGAAGCTAAATAATTGGCATTATACGATCGCAGGTAATTCACGACCCGCTGGTGACCTTCCGAAGTATGTGTCACTGTCGCCGGTCGTGCGTGTCAGCCATAAAAACTATGGTGGCGCACACCGGAAGCTCTTCTTGCGAACCATTGCCAACTTTGGACAGCGCAAATTTGCCTTCGACGTGGCCGGGCTGACAGAGGACTACCTGAACCAGCAGAGACGGCGATTCGAGCAAGGCGCCAGATTGCTTCCCAATGAAATACTTGCAATGATTGCTGTCTCTGCCGCAAAGATCGCAAAACCACGTGCCCAAACCAGCAAGTGAGCCATTTCTCGTCTTGAATACCTTCAAACTCAGCCTGACCGCCCCCAAGGACCCGTGACACCTATCCTTCCGAACGGCTGAGTGTTCTCGCCGCTGTCTGTCGCACATGGCGAAGAATCTGCCGGACCAGAATGTTCGAGGAGCTTGATATCCGGTCCGTGGTCCAGCAGAACCGCCTATACGCCATGTACGAGTCTGCTGAAATCTCGTGTCTTCCACGCGAGGTGTCCATAGGCGAAACACGCCCGGGAAGCAGATCTCCAAGTCCAAGTCTAGGACTGGTTCTTTCGTCTCTGGGGCATCATCTCCACCAGGCTAATCTCATTAACCACAATGTGCAGCGGTTCCCTAGCCTTTTGGGCGAGAGATACATACACGAGGCGCCACCTCGGGTCGAGACTGCCATCTCCGCTTTTCTTCTTCCGCTACAACATCTCACCAGCCTTGCGTTGTGCGATGTCAAGTTCAAAACTTGGGCAAAATTCCTTCGTATCATTCGCGTTCAACACCGGGTCCAGCACATCAAACTAGGACTCGTCGAAATAGACGTCTTGCCAACGGTCAACGAACCCAGGTTTGGCTGGCCACCGTCGCTTGTTTTAACAGAGCTGCAGGAGCTAATAATGGACAACTGCTACGTCCCTGCAAGTGCAATTCCGGTATTTCTGTCGCTTGGACTTCGAGGCAAGCCGAACTTGATCTCTTTTCCCACCGACGATTTCTTGCAATACCATCCGCGACGACTTGACGGCAGTCGTGACCGCCCGCCGTCTCGGCAACTCCGCTACAATGACGTGAACGCAGTCTTGCAGATTGCTCAAGCTCTCGGACGACATCTCTGCGCACGACAGAATCACACCGAAAGAGCGGAGCAGTGCAAGTTCAACATTCTTGCCCTACACCCTCTGGGAGGCTCGCTTGACAAGCCGCCGCCCCCAGAAACTCCGTACTTGACAGGTGAGACATACCGGGCTCCCAGGCGAGCTCCTGGGACCTGAGGCATATATTTTCTTCTGGTACTGACGCTTATGCAGTTGAGTCCTACCGCGAGAAGCACGAGGAAGCGGGAGGAATGAAAAAGATGACCACCGTTCACATTATAGTGGCCAAGATACAAGAGTCTAGAGAAGATCTGTGGCGAATCAAGGAAGTTGTAATCAAGCTTGGTATACTGTGCGGCACGATGGAGAATACAGCGCGTGCGCTGGAATCTCTGGATCGCGACTTCGCTGCGATATTCACTGAGGACAACCCTTCGCTTGCATTCTCCTTCCGAATAAAGGTCGACCGGGAGTTATTCAAGGAGATCACGACGGTTGTACCTGACCCCCTGCGACTACTTGAAGAAAAGGGGAAATTAATTCCAGAACTTGAAGAAGACATGGACGATGGCGATTCAGACGTTATCCGACTATGATACACGCCCCGCTTGAATCGCCCGCTCGTCCAACGCTAACTGACGCCACCGCGCCTTTGGCATCTTCTCTTTCACCCTGTCCGTACTCAACTGAGCCTTCGAGCTAGCCGCGCACGACATCAGCAAGGCGACGCCGGCATCTCCACCTCCTCCGTCCTGACTCCTCGTGGCCGCTTCCACATCCCATATCCACTCCATCGTCATCCCAGCATATGCCAGCGTTGCCGAGTGATCTGCGCCCGTCGTACCAGCACTGTTTCCGTGCGTCCGCCAGCTCCGCAGCCTTGCACCAGCTACGCCAGAGGTCTCGGCTTTGCGTCGTTTTTAGAGGCACAACGGCCTGGATAATGAACCCGTTGCGCCAGCGGGGTTGGTAGTTTTACCTCCTGGCATGTACGGTGGCGGCCCCGGGAGCGCCTTGTCAACTGGTAATATGGAAGTAGGTGGCGAGAGCCGGACGGCAGGGGCATGCAGGTCAGCGCGAGGGGCGGATTGAAGGTCGGATCGGAGGTGGCTGCGGCGCCGGATTGCTGCTGGTCAAAGTGTAAAAGATAAAATGTACGAGCTCAAGAATGACATCTGGTACCATTTTCAGCGCTTAGAGCACTCCCAGTGCGAATATTGAGGTTACGGACACGCGCAAGCGGATATTTGAGGAATCTGGCTATTCATTCATTGTTAACTAGTACTACATGAAAGCGCAGATGAGCAATACGGTGTTTCAGGCTAAGATATCGACATACCATAGATATTGAATAAAGTGATTTCAGCACCAGCCATACAATAGTCGTAGTGAGGCGAGTACGTACCACGTTACCATCTATTATCTGCCTTGCACATTTGCACTCCCTTCCCAAAATTCTCTCATCGACATGCATGTTCTGTCCCTCGCGTCGATCTCCGCTCCCTCTCCCTGATAGAATCCCAGCCGGGCCTCCGAACCATCCCCGTACGGCACCAGTTAGCGAACGCAGCGTCTCCACTTCGTCCTCGCAGTCGTCTCCAGATCCTGCGTCCATCCCATCGTGCCGGCGCGCCGCTCGCGGTCGGCGCACGGCAACCCGCACCGCGACATCTGCCACCACCAGGTCGCCCGCATTCCTCATGCTCATGACATCCCCGAGCTGTTGGTCTCTCCTCTGTCCGCATATAGCGCGCCAGAGCTTCCGATTTCGCATCGCCCCGCAGAAGCGCACAACACGCACGGCGCGCCCCTCTCGCCGCCGACGTTGGCCGCTTCGATAGTTGACCTTTCGTCGGCGTATGCGCGAGGCGCCCTGGAAGAGCCTGGCCGAGCTAGCCTCGCAGAAGGAATTCAGAGATGGAGAGGTGTGGGTGGCGGTGGAGCAAGAGGCGGCGCGAGGGATCTGCAGGAACGTCGAGGTGAGGGCGAGAGTCAGTACAAGGGCGGATGCGGCGCGCTTGCTGTAAACAGAAGGGACGAGCTGGTTTGCAAGGAACGCACCTACGTTTTCCTTATTCAATCCTCATCATGCCCCATCATGCTCACGGCGAAGGGCATTAGCCACAGATTTTCTTGCTTCGTTACTGTACTTTCTTGATGTACTTGACTGCCAGAGGAATATTACGAACATGCGCAAGTCTTTTTCAGCAACCAACGGTGCATATTTAATTTCTTATTGACTAGTACTGCATGGACACGCAAATCAGCACATGTGAATGTAGGCGAGTATTTAAACTTACCATCAAATATCCACCAAAATCGCCTTCATACGGCCCCGCATCAGCGACATCGCATGACCCGGCGAGCACCTGGGCGGCACTACCATATGCTCGCGATACGGAGCGAGCACATCATCCGACGCGCTGCGAGTACGACGCTGAAAGAGCTGGAGCTTCCGTGCAACGGATGTCGGCCTTTGTGGCACCAGAAAATCGAGGACAACGCGGAATTCTGCAAAGGTACGCAGATGCCAAGCGAGCGAAAGCCAGATTCGCGGCTTCCTGTGTGCTGCCCAGAGGGCTACGATGTGTTCGCGCATATTATGAGTGGTAGAAAGGACTTGCTGGCGGGGACGGACGACGAGACCAACGTCTTCGATAGAGCGGCGACCTGCGTGCGTGTTGTCAAGCGGCAGGATTGCCAGGTTCCGCGATCGGATTCTGCGCCATGGCACGGCTAGACGAGAGGTGGAGAGGTCGGATGTGAAGAGACCAAGACGAATGGTGTTCTTCTGCGGCGGCTTTACAGGGTGTGCTCGATCGTACTACCGAGGTACGAGCGCAGCAGCCTAGTCCCACCATCTTGTCAGCAACGCATTCGACGCGCTATGAGTTCGGGACACACCTGCGTCTGAGACTCTCGAATCGACACCGTTCAGAGCCGTGCACAGATTTTCGGAGCGATGCGTAACCGAGCCCTTGCTCCCCAAGGCCTCGAGAGGCATCGGCCACTGCTGGTACGACGATCCGAGGCCGTTGCGTCCATTGCTGCACCACGAGAGGTTTCGCGCTGAGTATCGTACAAGACGGAACAAGGCATGCCAGGGTTAGATCGTCGTGCTTGCCACCTGTTAATCTCAGTGTCGTACACATCTCGTAGGCAGAACGTGTAGGCCGAAGGAGCGAGAAGGGGCAGCGGTCGGTTGCAGAACGATGGTCGAGGGTTGAGCGCAGCGATCCTGATGAAATGTTTTGTCAGACATCGTAAGAAATTACGAATGCGTGCTTTGAATAGCAGACCTAAGGGTAAACCTATACACAATCTCAAATCCGCCTCCGCGGTGGGCCGGTGCAGCGCACCATCGAGGCAATATTCAGCCATAAGGCAGATTAATCGCCGGCGGGGAGAAGGTAAGGAACCACATGTAGAGCTTGCTAGAGTTGTTGCGGTATGCAGTGAGTTGGCCGTCGGGGAAGCGTAGCTATTATCCATGTCGGCCGTAAGTGTTTTCCTGGTTGCACGGTTGGGCGCCCAGAGCTCGCGCTCAGGAGCAGCAGCAGGATTGAGATGCAGTGCGGAAACAAGGGCGTGACAATGGTCTTGAGCCAGAGGCCTGTGGCAGCGAAGATGGTATCTGACGGCGTGACGACAAGGGAGCCGAACTATATAGATGTATGCGGCTAATTCAGCGTATCATCTGGCCATGGAGCGACAATATTAGCTGTCAAATGGCAATGCGAGCAGTGTGCAACGTACCGGGTGGACGCGCAGGGCACCAGCCTGCCAGGCGTATGTCCCACCAACATCATTGCGAGGAGTCGGCCTATGCCCGAGGCCACTGTTCGACGCAAAGGAAACGAGGTGCCAGCGATTCGACAGCGCGGCGATGCGAGAGAGGTGCTGTATCGCGTAAGGGCGGTCGGGGAACGTGGAGAGCAGCGAAGTTCGGTCGTAGAATCGAGTGCACCTGCTTCTGCATGACCATGGAAGGGCCACCTCAGCTGTCGACTGGCAAAGCGAGCATTGACGTGTCACGTGCCAGCTGGATGCACAGGCCCCCACCCACAAGATCAGCTGCAGACGGCCAGGACTTGCAAGGATCCGTGCATGGTCGAAATCACCACCAGCGAGCTCGTTTGCAGGCCTCGTGGCGCTGTATCATCCCCGATTGTTGCAGCAAGATTGCTTATTTTCAAGCTCGTATCGGTTTGCATCGCGTCGAAGAAGCAGTGGAGTAAGGCAGCTGGGAAATGCAGTCCGAGATATTTGCAGAAAACGCGTCGTTCGTGCTCTTCAAGTAGCAGACGCCGGCAACACAGCGGTCCCCGTCCAATATACTCCGAGGCTCTCCGTGTCTATCCTTGTCTGTGGTAGCAGCAAACATCAAACAACACAGATCATGAAGCAGGCGAGTCTAGCAATTCTATGCAAATGTAACTAGTCGCGTTATGTAGCCATGCATGCAATCTCTCAAGCGCAAGACTAGCCTCTTAGCCCCAGATGGGGATTCTTGACCGGCCAGCCCTAGCAATACGAGCCATGGACTGACGTCCGAATCTTCATGTGCATAATCATACTCCAATACTTTCCCCGCGGCGTCTGCTGTTGCACTACCAGGGGGGTTACGCTAAGCATCGTACACGACATGACCAAGCGCGCAAGTCTCCTCGTGCTTCAAGTTGCTGCTTGGCGTTTTCGGTGCTAGACATTTTGTACATGGAGCGCTCCGGCGGTAGGTTGTATAATCACGACGGGGCCGGACACAGCAATTCTGATAAATTACATGGTCAGAAATCGTACGGAACCACAGACGCATGCATTGGATAGCGCACCTAACGGCAGGGCCATCTTTCACTCGTATACTTGTTTCAAATTCGGTCCTTGCGACGGGATGGTGCAGCGCATCACCGGGGTAGTGATATGCCCAGTTGACGCGGTCTTCGGGTAATACGTTTGTCTCGCGAAGGTCGGGTGCAGTGCCCGTGAACGCACTAGCGTTTGTGAGACTGCCGGCGTCTAGTGATCTCGCTTGAAGTGCAGGTACATCTGGTGAGCAAAACATGTAAGCATATCCACCAGTACTGCGTGCGTTTGGGCTGACATACCCGGTAGATGTGCAAGCCCGCCCACGGATGAGGCATACCCAAAGTGCCTGGCGCGCTAGCCAGTGACATACGAAAGCCCTCAAGCCTAAAATGTGCGACGCTGCGGGAAATGTCCCGTCGAGGTTAATCGAGAGTCCCCCGTGTTTCACGAGCCGCAACAAGCGTGTGATGGTAAACCTGTACATCGCTGCAGGCTGCACAAGCAGAGGAAGAGAAGCCAAACAAAATTTGCACGCGTTGTGTCACGCGTGCGCCTCGGGATATGACCTTCGTAGCGTTGCCTTCGAAGTTAAGTGCTGCTTGGCGGGCCAGCATCGAGCGCCGCGGCAGTGATTGCAGGCCATCTGGACGTATAAGCCGCAGTGAAGCTTGGAAGTGGCAGTATGGCGGATCTTGTGGGGAGGGCCGAACGGCATAGTGAGCAGTTGCTGCCGCGACGCGACGCTCCAGTTGCACAGAAGTTCACGATGCCCTGCAGCCTGGTCTATTGTTGTCCTCCCGACGTCGCCCTGTCACAGCAGTGAGTTATTTTGTCGTTCGCTCGCATCAACAGGTGCCTTGTATACCAAAAGAGAGCAGGACGCACCATATCAATCAGCACAACGGCTTGTCCGGGAAAGCGGCTTCCGCTAGATGACGATCTGCACATGCTGCGGCGGAGGGCGTAAAACTATGTGTAATTAGATGACGGACAGCTCGTGCGCCTCGCAGGACGTGTGAGGCAACCGCCTCGAGCGTGCTCCTAACGTCGGCCTCCTCGAGCTTACGCGTGATCTTCGGCTTTATGTCGCTTTCTTATATGGGCTGCGCGTCGAGGAAGGCCGCCAGGAAGGCTGTTTGCGCGCTCATATCTGACACCAGGAGCTCGATGCGCAGGGCGTCGGTGAGGCTTGGAGCGCCAAGCTGCTAAGAGGAGGGGGGAGATCACGTCGCGGCCGGGCGTGCATCGTCAGCAGCGAACTTGACTGGAGGACAACAGGGGTAGTCGACAACGACAAAGCAGCCGAGCAAACAGTGTGATGAAAATACTGCCTTCGATACCGCGCACCGCATACTTTGCACCTGCTCGTCGTGACCTATCAGCACCTGAAAGCAGACGAGCATGCAAGCCTGTACGCACCTGTTGCCAATACTTGTACCCACAACGTTCCATCCAAATGCTGATCCAGTTTGACTCCGGCACGCCTCGCACAAAACACGGCGTATGACTTGCTTACTCGAAGGAATGATATGTGCTAAGCACTCCCATTCGCTGTGGCGACGGCATCAAGATACGTTCTGGTCTGCTAGGTGTTGTCGAGTGAAAATGAGTAGGTCTAGAAATCTTCTCAGGCGACCGTTGTGTAGCTTCGAGGACAACTTGTAAGCTAGTGCGCTTCATCCCGGAGTGTATAAACGCACTTTGATGTCCTTCGGTACCACCACTCCTGGGCATGCACTATGTCAGAGGGATGTGCACTTATCTTGAAGTGCAGCAAATATTGTGGGCTTGTGGACGATATTTGCAGGTCAGCTATGGCAACGCAGTGCTGTTCGTGAGTCAGAGGCCTCAAAACGTTCAATTACAGAAGGACAAAGCGGACTGACCTATCCCGGCTCTTGCAGGAAAATATGCCGGCCGTGGAGTGCACCGAGGTGCTCATGTGTGTTAGAGACAGACTCATTTCCGATTAGGGAGTGAGTACATGGACGAAGGCCAGGGCGGGAGAGGGCGGGGCTCGGTGACGGTGGTAAGAGGGCGCCGAAATCGGCTTTTGATGCGCCTTGTTCAGAAGTTGGAGTTTGATGCGCTGATCCAGACCGCCGATCTGCCGCCCCTAGGCGTCTCGTGGGAAGCCGGCAGTGCGCCGTGGCGCTCTAAACCGACCAGCTGTTAGCAGGTGAGTGCACAGCTGATTCATTATCCCATTCATCTCTGCGTGTAGGCATTGCATGCGGTGTCGTACATGTCGCGCCCAAGTATCCCGATACTCGCATTGCTAGGAACCATGGTATGCGTCAGAGGGCTGTGTGCCCTGGCTCGAAGCGCTTTGAGTTTGCAGCTCTCGTGCCGTGTCAAATCGACCGTCGAGGCAATAGCGATGTTGACCGGCTGGGAAGCCCGCGACAGCCCGTGTCACGACAAGAGAAAGCGGGAAGATGCAGTCCGAGTCGCGTGGTTCTCTGCCGCCACAGTCGGCATTGGCTGCGGCACAGCGGTGCATATTTGGAAGGGTTTGTCATTCGTCACATCGAGGCTCTCCATTCTTTTGCGCTCCCTCCGTACTTACATCGAAGCAGGTGAAGTTGATTCTTTTACGCCAATGAGACTGTTCGCCTGAGTTGTTTCTCAAGATCTCAAGCTCAAGCTCCAAAGCTTCCAAGACCTGTCTCCTGAGCGGCGGGCGGCGGAATGCTCAACGAATAACCTCAGCTCGTAGTAGTCTAGCTAGGTCACTAATACAGGCGTCCTCGAGCGCATGACAAGGCTCCAGCTCTTTTCTGACTGCATGTCCATCCAAGGTGCTTATGAAATCCCAAATGCGCTATCGTAGTTACGACAAACCGAGTCGACTGGCAGCTTGTTGCGAGCTGGACAAACCGTACTTGTAGCGACGCAGAGGATACGATTGTCGGGTTCCCGACTGCGAGAGCGCATCCAGCGAGACAATCCTCGAGATGATGGTCGTGGTAGGCTCGAGATTCGTGCGCGACGTTAGAGCTGGGATGGGCCTTAACTGTCCTGTGAACATCTTCTTGTTGAAGCAACAGGCCGATCTGTCTTTCATTGCATCAAAAAGCGCCATGTACACCAGAAGAAGCAGGACGCACCATACAAGCCTGTCTGAGACTGTTTCTCCGCACATGATGCAGCGCAAGACGCACCAGGTGGTCCCGAACATGGTGCAGAAGCACCTGTGTGCACCGCACGGAGCATGTGCCGCGACCGCCTCAGATGTGCTCCCGGCGTCGGTCCCCCGAGCTTGAGCGTGACCTGAGGCAATGCGTGAGGATCAACGTCAAGATTCAGCTTGACACAGTTCGAGGTCTGTGCCATTTATTTGTTAGCAAGACACGAATGGCTGCGCCATGGGCGAACACACTCCTTGAATAGGAGATCTGCCAGGCGAGCGCGGCGAGCAGCTAGCGGTGGAGAAACGAAAGAAGTGGAGACGATCTTGCATTTGATGCTGCTTCATATGACGAGCTTTGCCTGCCGTGGTGCATGAGTACTCATGGGTAACAGAAACGCAGACTCGCACGCACCAAGGTCAGCCGTACTTGTACCCGGTGCTTCTTCTCTGCGAGCCCATGCAGCTCCTCTTTGGTTTATTCCACCTAGAAATTACAATGCAACTCTTCTGCGTACGTGAATAGCATGTCGGGGTACCACCCACCATTCGCCGCGGCAACCGCGTCGAGGCGTGCCGTCGCCTGCTTGGCACCATTGAGTTCATAAGGGTATGTCTTAAAGACCAGCTTGGACGACTGTCACATACCTGTGCGGCAACTCTTAAGCTGCCATGACACGTCCGAGAGTGCACCCACGCGCCTCAATGTCTCCAACTTCAGGTGCCTTGTTGAGTCCGACTCTGGTTGCGTCTGACGTTGCGCATGGGTGCATTCCATGGAGAGTAAGCATGAGACAAAGCCCGACGCCTGCAAATTCGCATGCACTGACGCAGTACAGCTGTCCGTCGTTTGGCCGTTGGCTCAGCTGTTGAAAAGCAGGATGGACACACACCGGCTGCGGTCGACGTCGAGTTACTCAAGAGCGGCAGGGAAATTAACACCACAACAGGTGCTATATGAGACGAGGGTATGATCATGGCCAAAGTGAAAGATGCGCCTTGTCCAAATTTGATGCGCTATTCTAGACCGAGATCACCATTGCGCCACAAACCACGACCGCGGCAGCGGTTACGTTCCTCGCATGCTTCGATGCGGTGCTCGGCGATATCTGGTGCGCTTCTTCCTCTATGACTTTCGTCGCCCAGACTCTGCTCACCCACGCCTGCGCGCTCGTAGGCTTGCCACTGTTTTCACTTGCCGCGCGTGTGATGGTTACACACTCTCCTCTGCCGGAGGATGCTCCTCAGACTCTGCCGCCAAGCGCTCGGTACGCACTCGCAGAATACCGCTACTCCCCTGTGAACTAGAACTCCTGCCACACGACAAGCTGGTCGCTTCACACAGCGTTCACCTCATCAGGCAGCGCTTCGTCTCCGTCGCTGTCCATGAGCTTGTGGACTGCATCTCGATTGCAGATACTAATCACCATGGAAGTTTTGGCCCTATCGCAACTCAGGAACGTGCTTCCGCCCGCGCCGCTCGCGGAATACTATCGACTATGTTCTTCCTCGCACACAGAACGTGCGGCCTGACCAGCACTCATGTTTCAGCTGTCAAGCGCGCAAATGGGACTGGGATTGGCAGTACGAGGAGGCCAGTGCTGCACGAAAGCATGGGATTTTCCGGACCAGGATAACGACTACCGGCACGGCGGGCAAGTGATACCATCAATCCAACGGCACGGACGGGAGCAGCATCCAGCAGATTGCCGGCCCGACCCTCAGTTCGGTATATGTGGCTCTCAAACACTCCGGATACGGTAGATGGTGGTATACGAGTTTAAGGATGGTAAGCAAAGGAGAGGGGGCGCGGTTTTTGGGCGCATGGACGAAGGGGAAGCGCAGGAGGCCAATGTTGCATGAGTGGGGATCCAGATTCCTCATTGTATAACACAGATCGTGTGTCCAATCCGCTCCCCTCTGCGCTCCATTACTGATACATAGCTGCTTGTATTAGATTAGCCTTAGTATTAGAATATGAACGCTCATCGATCATCCCGCAAACATCTGCGCGCGTATTAATTCACCGCGTCATCTGGCCTGCCACTGGGCTCCTGGTGGTTCGCGGACCGCCACAACTTGTCACAACTTGTCAGATTTAATGACATGCCAGCATCAGCACTGCTAATGGAAATGCTACTGCAGCTCTCAGGCTCGACTCTCATCTTAATGCGAAACTTCGCACGTTTCTTGGCCTACCGCTTCCACGGCCTTTACGACCGCTTCCACCTTGCTCCCAATATTGCCTTCTCCCTCTGTGGCAGTGATAACATCCACAGCCACGCAGACGCTGTGCCAGTGCTGCGTTTGTGCCTCATCCCACCGCACTGATCTTGCCGCAGCATACTTGGAAATCGATACGTGTCCTACTGCTCCATTCTTGCCCAAGTTGCTGAGCACATAAGCTCGCCGTCACATACCACAACAGCTACACATTGATTGCGTCAGACACATTCGCATCCATGGGAAGCCGGTGGTCGGCAGTGCACGACGGCGCTTTGAAGCAACTAGCTGTTGATAAGGGAGTGCACAGCAAATTCATTAACTCATTCATTTCCGCATATAGGCCCCGGTTCGATGTCATACAAGCTACACTTGAGTGCAGTGATACTTTGGATGTCGTTGGAAGCCATGTAATTTATCAGAAGGCTGTGTGCCTCAATAGGGCCTTGCAACGCACCTATGACAGCTTCCTCGCACCCGCGCGCGGGTTGTGCATGTATTCTGCCTCTATAAGATAAGCCACACTCAACTATTATGATGAAGCATCCCTCTTCCTCTCCTGACTCTGGCTCTTTCTGGCTGATCGCGCTCTATCATGATATCGCTCAGTGATATTCCTCATGCGCGTAACTATCTGGAAGGCATGGTATTGGATAAGAGCCTTGCCACCACCCTTCGTTACTATAAAAAACTACCGAGGAAGTGGAAGTCCACGGGTTTCCGGAGCACCATAAGTCAAAGTGGACTCATGGTTCACACAACGCTCGACAAGCTCTGCGTAGACTCAGGCTTGCCAGAAAGATATGTTGCGGAATGCCATGTTGACTTGCGCTATCCATTCTTCTACTATGAAGTGTCCATCGAGTTGCTCCTCTGTAGCACTGAATCAAGGTGAGTCAACGATTTAACAGGTCTAAGCTACGACTTGCACTGATAGCGTTTGCTTGCCTATGTAGTGGAGGTATCACAATAGTGTCTGTATTCAATCTACTTTCATGGTGATCTTTGGTGACGAGCTTTACGAATATAGCATGATTGCCGAAGACTAGAAGCCCGGACCCCTACAATATGAGTCACCACCGCCTGTAGCATTCGATGTTTGGGATAAAGAAGATAAAGTATGCCCAGGCTACTTCGATGCATCTATGAAAGGCACATTCGTCCTTCCCCGGCCAGTTGCTTCAGGCACCATTGCAAGTGAGCTCATGAAGTTGAGACGTGCCTTATCCAATTGTAAGCTGACCATACGAGCCCCACAGCCGGAGATATACTAGGTTGTGGGATCTCGCGCCCTGAGTGTTATGACAGAGGTTTCTTAGCATGCCTGAAGCTTGTCTAATCGCCTTATCCGCAGATGAGGTTAGAGCAGAATAAAGAAACGTGAATATACAAAAGAGCTGAAAGCTGAAGTTCTACTGTATATGCGCGGGGTATATATACTACTGCTCAACCTAACCTAAGGACTAGTCTACTAGTCAAAGGGACTGCGGGTGAGTCAGTGGAGCTGCGCTCTATGAGTCGACAAAGGCTGTACTACTAAACTAGAGTCAGAGACGAAAAAGGAAATGATATGCCACGCCACCATGCCCATCATAACACTGAGGGTCATATATTCTACACTAGGAATGGTGGCCGTGTTGGTAAGGCTCCATTGCGATTAGCGTGCAAGACTCGGGTTCACAAGATTTGGCGGCCCGTGTGTGCTACAGGTGGTTCGCTGGACATCAGTGAAGTCCTGAGCTCAAAGACGGCAAGGCTACGTCCAGTCGTCTACGTGACCCATAAGGATTATCGCAACGGTCAAACTCGGCCGGCACTTGACTTGCGCACTACCGCAAACTTCGGGCAACATAGTTTCGCCTTTAACATAGCACGCCTTACAGAACGCTATTTCTACGAGCGGAGAGAGCGATTTACGTGCAGTGCTAGGTTGCTGCCCGATGAAATCATCGCGATGATTGCGGTCTTTGCTGCGAAAATCATTGCAGCCAAAGAGGACGTGTAAGTTATTTCTTGCCTAGCGTAGTATTGGCGTCAGCTCAAACACTCTATCGTACCAGCATTACCAGTATCTCATTCCTGAACTCCCTCGCCATGGTCAATCGCACCTGGCAGAGGATCTGCCGTCCTATGATGTTCAGTGAGCCTGAGCTCCACATTCAATCTCTGACTCAACTCCACCGCTTGGGCGTCATCTTCGGGACTGCAAAGAGTTTGAATCTTCCGCACAAGGTACACATAGGCATCGATAGATATAGGGAGCCCAG